GGTTCGGGCACGGCACTCGCTACCTGGCGCACCATACACGGCCGCTACAAGTGTAGAACCATAATATGGTTTACAAAATTTACAATTACACAGTTATCAAAACTAAATTTTAGTTATCGCTTTTATTTTATTTTGCCCCAACTCTAAATTAACCGCCGCCCTTCTTGTTGCAGGTGTGTCCTGGTCCGAGAGGCTGTCGCCGTCGCCGTCCTCGGACGCCTGCTCCTGGCGGTCCGGGACCCCCTCGCCGCCGTTGTCTGAGCCCGGCTCCTGCTACTGGGCACAGGGCACCACGGACGAGGGCATTGTCATCGACCACTTCGACGACATCCCCAAGAAAAAGAAGGTAAGTGTGTGTCGTCGGGAGAACAGAACTGGGGGAGGATGGAAAGGGAAAGGGAAGTGGGCGAGGGGGAGGGGGGTGGGAGACGGGGGCGCCTGTGGGAGCCTAGCCCGGGTTTGATAAGTGTGTACACACTGACGGCCTCAAACATGTGCCCCGCAGCCGTGCGCGGCTTAGCGGGAGACCCCAGCTGTATACAGCGCGGCGTGCCGCGAGGCGTGGGGAAGAACAAGAAGAATGACCGCATCAGTGCGAGAAATGGAGAGGCAGCAGCGGAGAGAGAGAGAGGAGGCATAATGCTGAACGAGTGCGGGGCTGAGAGAGATACCAACGACATCACGCTTATGTGTATACTTAAGGGTCGTAAATATAACTGAGCTTGCCCCCCTCCCGTCCCCCCTCCCCCTCTATCCTGATTGCTTCGCCTCAAGCCAGCGGCCCGGGCCGGCCGCTACGCCGGCTTGTAGTACACGTACACAGCGGTGTGTGGCTAGGGGCCGGTGGCGTTGCCCCCCCCCCCCCCCTCTCTCTCTCCACCCACCGCACTTCTGCTCAAGTTTGCGAATTTCTTCACCACCTTCCCCTCTTTGCGCCCATTGCTCTCTGCCTCTTCGTAGAACATGGTATAGCCCATCATCGGGTAGCTCCAAGATTGGCGTACTATCCCCTCACGACGTCGGGTAGGAATGTTTGAGCCCACACTGCACTGCACTGAAGACTCTGACGTGGGTCGTCTCGGGCTGTCTGTGGAATCTCTTTTGTCGTCGATGTCGATGACGACGAC